TGATTAGTGTAAAACCAAGTCAATGCATTTGTGCAAACTGCTGGTTAAAAAATCGGATGGTGCGCGTACAGGATGCGTGTACTATTCTGGTGATGAAATTTGTTTCACTCTTTACGTGGATCCTCACGTATGCGTAAAAACCAAAGTATACTTTGGGCTTTAGGTAGCTAATTGCTGCAGTAAAGTTAGTCCCTTACGCCACCTACTGGCTGAACTAAAAACCGAAGTATACTTTGGTTACCCTTTTATTTATCTGACTTATTAAAAGAAAATAAGCCAGCAAGATGTCTGAGATCGACAAAAAACCTCTCCTTGGCTCAGCCTAGATCACGGCTAAAGACAAGAGGTGATCGTGCATTTGCAATAGTTGGACCGAGGCTATGGAATAACCTTCCTTCATCTGTGAAAGCTTTAAAGTCTGTCTATGAGTTTAAAACGAAGTTGAAATCCTATTTTCTTACCTTGGCTTTTTAACTTTGTATGTTACATTTTTGTTCTGGATTTTATTGATGTTTTTATTATTATTATTATTATTATTATTATCATTATATTATTACTATAATTTTTTTTCTTCTTCTTTCTGGCTTTTTAATCTATTTGTACAGCACTATGGTCAACTGCTGTTGTGTTTATCGGTGCTTAATAAATACATGAATGAATGATGAATGAACTATGTAACCTGCACTGAAGTTGTTGATAAATTTCCATAATTAACATACAGACCATTTCTCAATTCCAAGTAAGCCAATTTTATAATATAAAATATAATTTATTGATCAGTAATAACCATTATAAACTTGTTTAATATATATTATTAAAGTTGTAAGTTATATTTTGGATAACTTCACTAATTTGAGTTTAAAAAAATGTTTAAATTCTTAAAGTAAATAATATTTCTAATTAAGTCATTAGATTGCAATTTAATTACCTTGTAATTTGTTACAATTATATGCTTTACATTTTACAAATGAATAATGCCCCCAGACCCTAAAATGATTAAATTCATAAATGTCACCTTTTTCACCTCTTGTGAATTGTCAGGTATGTTGTATGTATTGTACATGCAGCTACAACATTCTCTTTTTCTTTTTCTTTTTTTTTTCAAGCACAAAATTGTCTTCCTTGAACAGTCTGACATCATATTTTATGAGCAATGTCTTTTAACTTCTATTGACCATAAGATCTGCTTGCACCTGGCCACATATTTGTGTCATGGTGTCAGAAAGCATCTTGATAAACATGTTATGTATGAACCTGTTTTAGCTGCCCTGTTCACTGATGGATGTAAACCCCAACTTCCTGTAGGGGAATAGAGAGGAAGGCAATTCATGTGTTTGTACTACGGATCTGTTGTACTGAAGCCAGGGTACAGAGGACGGATGAAACGGTGCCATGATGTTTTGTGCTTAAACGGCTCTCAACTGCTTCCCCTCCAGTATGACCTTGGTTTCATTTCCTCTTCGTTCACCAAATATGCAGATATCCGGCATGTGTTTACTGGTTTATGCTACTCTCCAACAAAACAGGAGCTCAATAGTACATGTGTCTGAGATAATAAAAGTTTAGTTGAATGTCATTAAAAACATTGAGTGTATTAGTAAAAAATAAATGAACTGCAAAATTAATATCTAATCTTTCAGTTTTTTTTCTTTTTTCTTTTTTGTCTCTACAGAAAAATAGATCCTTGGTAATGACAAGCATGCCCACTGAGTGAGTATCTGTGACTCTATACTGTGTACTATTAAAAACTGGAAATAATAAAGCCTAGCTATTGTGCTGCATGGATACAACCACCCATCTTGTAAATCGGTCACATAAAAAAAAAAATTTGAAAAGTTTTCACTCACAGTGATTGAGATAAACGCCTAAGTTTAGCACAGATATATTATCACCCTTATTACACTCTGGCATAATACACCCTCTCACAACACAGTGAGTTAACTAGTCCTGTTGTTATTAAAGGATACACAACATTAATGGTCTTCTTTTTTGGGTTCCTGTCAAAATGACTGCATTTGTTTGGAATTATTCAGCCATTTATATGAGATTTTGATGACTGAATTGATCACGCTCCTCTATTTGGATCCAACAATTTATTTTTAATTTGTTCTTAATACTGTAAATTACCCATATGCTTAATATGGAACTAGATGCATTATTAGAAACTGCAGATACATTTTTTTGCAAATTTTTTTTGCATAATTTTTTTTATGTCGAATATTTGTCGAATTTAAAATAAAAATCCACCTTCTAATGCAAAAACGTTGCATTCGAATTTTAGGTGTGTCAGGCAGCCTTATCAGTGGGGCATGAAATGCGACGACGATGTAAGTGTCATTGCATTTTAAAGGGGTCATATGATGCTTTTTTAAAGATCATTATTTTGTGTATTTGGTGTAACAGAATATGTTGACATGAGAGCCTTTTTAGGGGGGCGTGGCAGAGTCTTAACATTGATAAAGAATATCTCTTTGGTTTTGAGACTTCAGTCTTTGCAACTTCAGGGATCTTATCTATGCACAATCAGCTTGTAACACTCCAAAGAGAAAGGAAAACTTGAAATCGCATCATATGACCCCTTTAATGTTTTTGTTAGCCTATCCAGTTGAACCCACTAGATGCGGCGCTGCTACGTTGTTCATTCAAAATATTGCAGAAAAAGAGAACAATCAATGTGGGGAAGATGTTGTTTACGTCAAAACCGAAACCAAGCTGTTCACATAGAATGCATATTTATCGCATTTTCTAGAGGGACATCTATCACCGTTGCACTCGCACAAGAGAGCCGCATGTTTAGAAAGCTATGTAAAATTAATGTAAGTTCAACTTTTTAAAAACATGTCTCAAGACTTGTTTTGGGAATAGTTTTCCCCATCCCACTTCATCTTAAGTTTTTAAATAAAGTAAGTACTCTTTTTGATTGGTTTTTGGTCCTTTGTATTAAACTATACATACGTGCATGATGCTGTTTTGTTTCTAATTGTTTAAGCAATTTTATTAATTATATATGGTTTATAAACATTATTTTAAACATTATGCACTTTTTTTCAAAGATAGTCGTGTTATTTTATTATGCTTTGAAGAAACGTGCATAATATTTTGCTCGATGCACCCTCTTCTGGCCTCAGGAGAGAAGCCAAAATATTTTTTCCCCCTAAAGCCGAGCTCACACTACAGGATTGAAAGGCTAGCCAAATCACTGTGTTGCTCACACTACGCAACAAGATTTGTTCTCATCTGTCATTGTCTTGTCATAGCTGCGCGCATACTACACAACACAACGCTAACGAGGTTCACACACATTCAGTTTTGTAACATTCAGTGAAGAGGCGTTCCAAACCATCAGCGAAAATAAGTTTTCTCACATAAATTCTCGCGAGAAATTACAGCGATTATAGGCCATATCTTCAAGCATGGACGATCAACTGGCCATTCAAATGGTCTGTACAGTTATTTTTAGGGGTGGCACGATACCATTTTTTCAGAACCGATACCGATCCGATACCCAAAGTTCTGAATATAGGACAATACCGATACCAGCACAGTTTTTTTTCTATACCTCAGTGTGTGTTGACCTGATCATCACTCTTTTGTGTGTTACACACAATCTACTAAATATAGACAACTTCATTATAAAGAAAAATAACAAATGAAAAAATATATAATTATAATCTATGAGAAAATACTATTACAAACTAGGTTAGTAGATCTACAAAAATGATGAGTTCACAATAATATTATAAAATCTAAACATTTAGAGAAAATACATTATTTAGTGGGGGGGGGGAATAAAAGTAAATGGCTGTAATCTGGTAAAATGTTACACATTGCTCTTTGTATTGTAACATTCATGAAAAACAATTAAATATAATTATATATAAATATATGCAATAAATTAAATACATTTCTTTTACATTTATAGCACAATAATGAGGCAGAAATATATGGTAGATAAGACCGAACAAGAAAGGCTATTAACAATCTTTCATTGCGCAAAAGTATAATAACATGAAAAGCTCAAATACAGATGGGCACAAAAGCGCTTATGCGCATCCCATGCGCAGGATGATGCGCTTGAAGCAACACGGAGTCACAGCGCACGGCTCTCCGCATAGAAAAGTTCAAAGTACAAAAGTAAGAGACATTGATGCGTAGTGTTATTATATATGTGCGATAGTTTGAGCCTTTTCTTTTAACAGTTTTAAATTTCAGTTACTGTGCATGTGAACAATTCACAGTGCTCTCTACTCATGTGTAGTGATCTCTAACAGACACCCGGTAGAAAGTGGCATGATTTAGAATTAGCACTAAACTCCAGCAAGATAAGTCATTTTATGCAAAACCACTGATGTTTATCTACAGATCAAGTATAATAATAGGAACATTGTATCATCTTAGAGAGAGTTTCGTCGTCTTGACTGTCGTAACAGAACGCGACGCACAGTTTGAATGCTGAATGGAGGATGACTGACAGCCGCAGCGGAGAGAAGTCTAGAGAACTTGAATTTAACTACAAACCCAATTCCAAAAAAGTTGGTCAATTGGCAACATGATTGGGTATAAAAAGAGCCTCTCAGAGTGGCAGTGTCTCTCAGAAGTCAAGATGGGTTATAACGACAAATATTCATATGTACCTCACATTAAAATGTGGAATGGTCTCAGAACACCTGAAATATAGTGCACGGAAACTTTATGGTGCTTTATAATGTTTTTGTGCCTTTCCTGGGGCTTAACAATAACAGAATAGTATACGCCAGTGGCGAGCAGTGACTTTTTTTAACGGGGTATGCTGAGTGATAAGACCCTCAAAGGGAACAATATGATGTTTGTTATTTTTAACATTTTATATATCCCACATTTTTAATTTACCGGTTAGGCAATAACGTTGACAATAACCATCTTCAACATACGTTGTCTATGACCAAAAATGTAAGAAGATATGTTTTCAGTGGACTTTTAAAATTTGCTTTGCTTGAGAAAACACAGATATACAGTTACAGTGTTTTTTTTCTTTTGATTTAGTCGAGTTGGTTTTGCATCAAACAATGTGATTTTCGGCAATCGGGATCTGACAGCAACAGCACATTTTTCCGCTTGGGCGAGCGCTTTGCGGACAGCTTACCTCGTGCGTTAAATCTCCCGCAGACCAGCAAATCACTGAGAACGCGCATCAATCCTGACAATTCATAGCAACAGAGCTGAGACCAGAAAGCTGCGGAGAATCCGCTCGCCCTGAAGCAACCGCAACTGGTAGATTTAAAGAAAATTACTGCCGTTTGGCAAATAAATCATTGTACGTACTTATTCCTAACTCTAAGCTTTAAATTACATTTCAAATGACAAGGGATCAACTTATAATCATGTTTATATGAATTATCCCGTGAACTTATTCTCTCAAATGGCCTGGGTATGCAGAGCATTCACAATTTATATGGACGGAATGCCACTGGTATACGCACAATATCGTATTTGGATCGGTCTCGTCTGAATATCGGATCGGCACACCCCTAGTTATTTTATCCGAAAGAAAGAAGAAACCACGACAAAAGAGAATATGGCAGAAACAATGGCTTGGAATACGTGGACAACAAGGTCTGTCAGTACTGCAGCAAGAGTTGGAGATAATTAAACAGTACAATGAAACGTTGTATTATATACACAATCTATGCATTTGTTAAATTTATTTCTAGTTCGTTGGTTTGATTAATTTATGGCTTTTCGTGTCTGTTCATAAAGATGCATGATTAGTGTTTACCATCTGCACTGTGATTGGCTAGTTCCACCTTGTCATTGTGTCGCTCACATTACGAGATCACGTGGCGATAATATCAAACAGGTTTGAAAATATCGTACCGTCTGTGATGGCTCGAGACCGGTTCGGATCACATTGCTGACCTGTTCATACTTAACGAGCTTCAGCAACCGCAACGAGCACCGATTTGGTCACGATCCGGGGGTTTTGTCGCAGACTGTGGAAATCTGTCTGCAACAGCAAAATCCAGCCAAAAATCATGTAGTGTGAGCCCGGCTTAACTGAAATTATGCCTTTTAAATTCGAATATAATTTGAATATTGATAATATTTAAGTAAAAAATTTGAATTTAGTTTTTCAGCCATTTTGACAGCCCTACTACCCAGCAAATCAGACATTTACTTGCTAAATTATTCAAAAGTAAATGCAAACATAAATGTAAAATATAGCTGCAAGCAGCAATTACGGGGCCAAGCACTACAGAAGCAAACACCAGACCAACTGCAGCAATGAGTAATTAAAACCATTTTAAGATTATTTTAGTCAAAATGGCTGAAAAATCATAAATACAACCACTAGTAATATGATTTATTGGCTTATCACTTTTGACCAATAGGTGGCGCTGTTATCAAATACATGTGGTGTGTTCTGTGTGAGGTGACAACAGCACACACAAAGTTTGGTGTCAATAAGTCAAAGCTTTGCAGAGATACAGCTTCAGAGTAATTTTGGCATCATGCCTCAAATTTGTAGCGGCGCTATACAAAAACAGTTTTGTCTATCGACACGAAATCTATAACTTTTTGCCAGCATTGTCTTGCATATTTTTGTATCAACTGATCTGCGGTCCATCTTCAAACAAACACAGCAGTGTTTTTGTTGCTCAGTGAATCTGCATTTTTGAACAAATCAGTTTAATCAATGATTCAGTGACCAACTCATAGAAACCATAATTTCACTCTTTGTTTGCTTCTGTGGCAGTACTTAAGGTTTGCTGAAATCTAAACAGACTACCTTATTGGATTGTAAATGTGAAAGCTCTATCTTAAATATACACGAAACAAGAAGAAATTAGGATGAGGGCAATTACATTTTCACTGTACTGTAGAACCTTTATTTTCTGGCGTTAAAAAGCTCTGTATTGATTGCAAAGTGCATAAATAAAAGTCTACAGCATAAAATAGCACTCTCAATATAGGCTATTTAATGAAACTGTCAGCACTGATTCTTATTTATTATGTAGACTATTTTGAACAAGAAATAATCACAAATGGGTTCAGTTGTATTCTATTGACCCATACCATTTTATTTTATTTATTTATAGTTTGTTTTTGTTTAACTTTATACTGTTGATTAAAATAAAATAATAATTTGTAAAATTATTTTTAATATTAAGTAAATCCCTACCTATTCCGAATATAGCCTACAGAATGATCTTGCTTTCTTAAAATGACACAGTCAGTGACGATAGCCATTTGAAATATATGAAAGGTGTGAATAAAATTATATTTATTTAAAATAAATAATAATTTAACCATTTCAAAAACAGCATTGGCTATTTGACCCACAGTCGACACATAGCCTATTGATTCCTTACCCACACACACACTGCAAATGACTGTGCTATTTTGCCCTTGTCACTTATTACATCAAATATTTAGTGGTTTTACCAATCTTTATCCACCCACATGCAGGACTCTGACCTAAAGTAAGAATATCACCAAAAATATACATCATTTTAATATCGGATCGGCACACCCCTAGTTATTTTATCCGAAAGAAAGAAGAAACCACGACAAAAGAGAATATGGCAGAAACAATGGCTTGGAATACGTGGACAACAAGGCCTGTCAGTACTGCAGCAAGAGTTGGAGATAATTAAACAGTACAATGAAACGTTGTATTATATACACAATCTATGCATTTGTTAAATTTATTTCTAGTTCGTTGGTTTGATTAATTTATGGCTTTTCGTGTCTGTTCATAAAGATGCATGATTAGTGTTTACCATCTGCACTGTGATTGGCTAGTTCCACCTTGTCATTGTGTCGCTCACATTACGAGATCACGTGGCGATAATATCAAACAGGTTTGAAAATATCGTACCGTCTGTGATGGCTCGAGACCGGTTCGGATCACATTGCTGACCTGTTCATACTTAACGAGCTTCAGCAACCGCAACGAGCACCGATTTGGTCACGATCCGGGGGTTTTGTCGCAGACTGTGGAAATCTGTCTGCAACAGCAAAATCCAGCCAAAAATCATGTAGTGTGAGCCCGGCTTAACTGAAATTATGCCTTTTAAATTCGAATATAATTTGAATATTGATAATATTTAAGTAAAAAATTTGAATTTAGTTTTTCAGCCATTTTGACAGCCCTACTACCCAGCAAATCAGACATTTACTTGCTAAATTATTCAAAAGTAAATGCAAACATAAATGTAAAATATAGCTGCAAGCAGCAATTACGGGGCCAAGCACTACAGAAGCAAACACCAGACCAACTGCAGCAATGAGTAATTAAAACCATTTTAAGATTATTTTAGTCAAAATGGCTGAAAAATCATAAATACAACCACTAGTAATATGATTTATTGGCTTATCACTTTTGACCAATAGGTGGCGCTGTTATCAAATACATGTGGTGTGTTCTGTGTGAGGTGACAACAGCACACACAAAGTTTGGTGTCAATAAGTCAAAGCTTTGCAGAGATACAGCTTCAGAGTAATTTTGGCATCATGCCTCAAATTTGTAGCGGCGCTATACAAAAACAGTTTTGTCTATCGACACGAAATCTATAACTTTTTGCCAGCATTGTCTTGCATATTTTCGTATCAACTGATCTGCGGTCCATCTTCAAACAAACACAGCAGTGTTTTTGTTGCTCAGTGAATCTGCATTTTTGAACAAATCAGTTTAATCAATGATTCAGTGACCAACTCATAGAAACCATAATTTCACTCTTTGTTTGCTTCTGTGGCAGTACTTAAGGTTTGCTGAAATCTAAACAGACTACCTTATTGGATTGTAAATGTGAAAGCTCTATCTTAAATATACACGAAACAAGAAGAAATTAGGATGAGGGCAATTACATTTTCACTGTACTGTAGAACCTTTATTTTCTGGCGTTAAAAAGCTCTGTATTGATTGCAAAGTGCATAAATAAAAGTCTACAGCATAAAATAGCACTCTCAATATAGGCTATTTAATGAAACTGTCAGCACTGATTCTTATTTATTATGTAGACTATTTTGAACAAGAAATAATCACAAATGGGTTCAGTTGTATTCTATTGACCCATACCATTTTATTTTATTTATTTATAGTTTGTTTTTGTTTAACTTTATACTGTTGATTAAAATAAAATAATAATTTGTAAAATTATTTTTAATATTAAGTAAATCCCTACCTATTCCGAATATAGCCTACAGAATGATCTTGCTTTCTTAAAATGACACAGTCAGTGACGATAGCCATTTGAAATATATGAAAGGTGTGAATAAAATTATATTTATTTAAAATAAATAATAATTTAACCATTTCAAAAACAGCATTGGCTATTTGACCCACAGTCGACACATAGCCTATTGATTCCTTACCCACACACACACTGCAAATGACTGTGCTATTTTGCCCTTGTCACTTATTACATCAAATATTTAGTGGTTTTACCAATCTTTATCCACCCACATGCAGGACTCTGACCTAAAGTAAGAATATCACCAAAAATATACATCATTTTGTGAGTAATTATATATTACAGTAATGTTTTTACATTAAAATATAGTTATTTTTGCTAGAAATACTATGAGGGTATGCAGATTTTTGGATAAAGTTCTGAACAGACATCAGTGAAAATATTATTTGCGTGTCTTATGGTTCAAACATGGAGTTTATGATATTTGTGGCTCAAACCTTTTGTTCAAACATGGAGTTTATGATATTTGTATGTTTTGCATTTGTATTTAGGAAGCAGGAGGTAGTCTTCCAGCTGGTCAGAAATCTGGGTGGTTTTACAGTGGTGGATAATGTGTGTGAAAGCACCACTCATGTGGTGTCCGGCAGCCCACGACGGACCCTTAATATCTTGTTAGGCATTGCACGTGGCTGCTGGATCCTCTCCTTTGAATGGGTGTGTATAGCTTTGTGTGCATTTCTGCTTTTAATATGTTTTTTTTTTCTAAAGTGTATTTAATACGGTAATGTAGAAGATTTAGGTGGTAGCTAATATGCTGTTGTACCTTATAATTTTTTGCTTGCCTGTACAGGTCCTGTGGTGTTTGGAGCACAGGCAGTGGGTTCCTGAAGAGCCTTATGAGCTGTCTGATCATTTCCCTGCTGCACCTGTAAGTACATGCATTTCTATAATATAGTGAATTCCATGAAACCTGTTAAGAATTTTGAGTTTCCCCCCACACATTAACTACAGATAACTTGTCACTAAGGCTGAAAACTAATTGTAAATATACTGCACAGCTGTTATTAGGATGTTTTTTTTTGGTTGTTTTTTTTGCACAAGAAGATATAAAAGAAACATCTTTTATATCGTCTCATCGTCTCTTATCCTATACTTTTGATGGTAGTGTATCACAGTTTCCTCAATTTCAAGGGGCGTTACCTCTTGCAGAAACAGAAGTAATGCCTGTGTAATGACTGTGGCTGGCAAACTTCATTGCACCGTATCCACACCTCCATTACAGCATGTCATGTGTTTTGATACTCCAGATGGCAAGTGCTTGACAAGGCAAGTGTGATACAGCCATACATGTTTGAGGCTGTGGCAGAAGAAATCAAAATAAGTCACACTGATTGCAAGAGTCTGTTTCAGTGCAGTAATTGCTTTTGCTTGCTTAAATGCTTAATTTTCTGTATATTGTTCTAAAAGTACTATTATTATTTGTCTTATTACAAAAGACACTGCATGTACGGTATGTACTGATTTTATTAGCAGCACTCTGTGATATACCTGCATTGCCCCGGAGAACAAAATGCTTGGCACTGCTGTATCTTCAGCATGTTTAGAATAATTCACAAAAAGCTTTATCTTTTGGTCGCTCATGCACGTCGATAAAAAATTTTTTAGCCATGCATATTTAATGTTGGGATCTCTAAGAAGGCTATACAGAGTTTTTGGTGGTGTAGTTTCTTTACATCAACACCATCCGAGTTTGATGCTAGACATCCAACAGCATTATTGCTCTTGTGATTGATGAACAGACATGAGTTGTTCCGAACACACCTCCTTGATTGCATATGATGATGATGCATGTTAAGGGTCGTGGTGAGGAGAATCATGACATCACAATTATTTAGATTTCAGATTCTATGCTGAGATAGAAACTTCAATAACCGAAAATCTGTTGGGGGCTATGACACAAATACGGCCCCCTTGGTCAAACCAAATAAAATACAAAATAAAAACTGGTGGTTTTGCAATACCAATACATTGAGGTTAAAAAAGAAACTCTTGAGACCTCTTGGGGTGTCTCAATATGACAGCCCTCTCCAGGTTGTACCAAAGCATCTAAATTGGTTTAAGGTCAAGCCTCAGGTAAACACATTTTATTTTTTAGACATTTTTTGTTGATTTGCTGTGCATTTCAGGGGAGGAGTAGAGTAGGGCCGGGCAGTATGACAATATATAACCTGGTGACAAGTTTAATTCGTTATAGATATATATTTTATACTGCATTATGTAAATGTATCCACAAAATGCAGGACTGCTTAAAGAGTCATGAAACCCCGTTTCAGCACTGGTTAGTTCCCACCACAGTTTTAAAAAATGCTAAAAAAGTGGGCGCAAAAAAGCTTAAAATTAATCAGTTTTCTCCAACAGTTAAAATTATCGGATGCTAACATTGTCTTCTGTGATGTGCAACACAAACACCTCTGCTAAAATCTCAGAAAAAGTAGTCTGGGGTTTCATGACCCTTTAAAGTTATTGACGCGTTCCAGCTATAAAGAAACATAGGTGAATGAGAAATTAGAGAGGAACATTTTTTGATAAGTTATAAACAATAATCCGTGCAAAAGAACTGAATTCAGCCCTCACATGCTGACACAAAATTCAGTTCTCCTACACAATCTCTTCAACGATCACATTTGGTAAACAGTTATCTGTCAATATATTGGATCAATAAATTGACAGCAGCCTAATGCATGTACTTGAGTGCTTATTAGGCAATGTAGGCAATAAAAGGCACATTATGGTTTAAATAGTTTAGTAAACCTGCGATTTAGTCGACTAATGCTTCAAATGAGCAACTACTAGTCGACCAGACAAATCTTTAGTCGAGGGTAGCTCATATTATATATATGTGTGTGTGTGTGTGTGTGTGTGTGTGTGTATATATACTGTGCTCAAAATTATTCATACGCTTGGTAAATATGATCAAAGGAGGCTGTGAAAATTAATCTGTATCATCAATCCTTTAGAGATTTTATTTAAAAAATTTACTAAAATCTAACCTTTGATTGGAGAATACGAATTTAAAATGGGAGAGAGATGTCATTATGAAATAAATGTTTTTCTCTAATACACATTGGTCACAATTAGTCATACCCTTTTATCCAATACTTTTTCCAACCTCCTTTTGCCAAGAGAACAGCTTTGAGTCTTCACCTCTAATGCCTGAAGAGTTTAGAGAACATCTGGCAGGAGATCAGAGACCATTGCTTCATCCAGAATCTCTCCAGACCCTTCAGATTTCCAGCTGCATGTTGATGCTTCTCCTCTTCAGTTCACCACACTCATTTTCTATCGGGTTCAGCTCAGGGAACTGGGTTGGCCAGTGCAGAAGCTTGGTTCATTGCTTCATCCAGAATCTCTCCAGACCCTTCAGATTTCCAGCTGCATGTTGATGCTTCTCCTCTTCAGTTCACCACACTCATTTTCTATCGGGTTCAGCTCAGGGAACTGGGTTGGCCAGTGCAGAAGCTTGGTTTTCTTCTCAGTGATCCATTTTTGTTTTGATTTTGATGTTTGTTTGTGGATTATTGTCCTGTTGGAAGATCCAACCATGGCCCATTATAAGATTTCTAGCATGGACAGTCAGTTTTTAAATTTTTTTATCCATTGGTATTTTATAGAATTCATTATGCCATCTATCTGAACAAGATATCCAGGATCTCGGACAGAAAAATAGGCCCACTACATTAAAAATCCAGCAGTATATGTCATTGTACACATGGGGTACTTTTTTATCCCTGTGTGCACCAAACCCATCTTGAGTGTTTGCTGCTAAAAAGCAAAAAAATTTTTAGTTTCATCTGACCATTGAACCCAGTCCCATTTAAAGTTCCAGTCATGTCTAGCAAAAAAATATGCTGGAGTTTGTTTTTGGATGAGAGCCGTTTCTTTTCCAATTTTTTTCTTGTAACCCTCACAAACAACATTGGTTTTTTTTAAGACTTTCTGACCCCAAGACGATTTTCTGCAGTTCTCCAACTGTGATCCTTGGAGTCTTTGGTCACTCAAACTCTCCTCCTCACCGTGCATTAGGACAATATAGACAACACGTCCTCTTACTGTATTAGAGAAAAATATTTATTTAATGTGATTTTCCCCCACTTTCACTTTTTTTTTTTTTTTACTTTAAAGGTTAGATTTTTTTTTTTTTTAATGAAAGATCAAGTGGATAAACAATGCGGATTTATTTTCACAGCTGCCTTTGATCATATTTATCAAGGGTATGAATAATTTTGAGTACAACTCTGTGTGTGTGTGTGTGTGTGTGTGTGTGTGTGTGTATATATCTATATATATATATATGTATATGTTGTTGTTATTATTGTTATTATTATTTAATTTGATTATTACAAAAAAAAGCAAGAAATGTATTATAATACAGTAAAATAAAACAAATGAGTAAAATTACAGTACTAATACTTGCGTCTTAATTTCATTATTTTCCAACGCATTTTCCATCAGCTTTTATTTTGATGGGTTGTCTGCAAATAAAAATGTGCTATTTACCATATTTGCTTACATTGCTTGTCCACCCAAAATGTTTGATTGTGTGTATATTTAATGACTTATTAAAGCAAACAAACCATTTTCTTAGGACCTAATGTAAATTCTTTTGTAAATTCTTGACAAAATACAGAATTAAGTTTAATCACACTGGGGTAACAGGTCCATTATAGCTACAATAAGCATCAAGCTACATATGACAGTTTATAAGATTAATACTTTTACTAAAAACTCACTTTAAAGCATCACTTTGTGTTTGTAATAACTTCCAGTTGTGATCTAATGTGGATTTTAGTAATACATGAAGCATAAATATATTATTTGTAGCTTTTTATAATAAGCTAAATGCTACACCTGTTGTAAACAAGCTTTATTCTCTTAAAAAGCTGTGAATATTTAAGATATACTGCTGCTGCACAAATAGCATATAAAATAACCCGTAGCAGATCTATACAGGTGGAGCTGGGGAAGGGGGAGGATTTCAGAGAAACTCTTAAAAGCGCGCTGCAGGAATCTCAAGTGAATGCTAGCCAGCCATGTAAATGCAAGCCAATAAGCTCATTGGCTGCATATGCAGCATGAACCAATCAGCTTGTGCCAAGTTGTTTAACTCTCTGAATATCATCAGTTACGTTAAAGGGTTAGTCCCAAAAATGAAAATTAGCCCATAAATTACTCACCCTCAAGTCATCCTAGGTGTATATGACTTTCTTCTTTCAGACTAATCCAGTCGGAGTTATATTAAAAATTGTCTTTGATCTTTCAAGCCGTTTCATGGCACTCAGCGGGTGTTGCATGCATCCGTCCAAAAGCAGTTAAATGCCCCCATCCATAAAAAAAAATGTGTCTCACAGGGCTCTGGGGGGTGAACAAAGGCCTTCTGTAGCGAATCGATGCGTTTTTGTACGAAAAATATCCATATTCAAAACGTAATAATCACTTTAATGTAGCTTGCGCTCACTGTTGTACACTGGAAGCAGTTCCGGGGGAATTACCTATGAGGTCAGCGCTGCACATGCTCCAGTGAGTCTCGTGAAAACCAACGTTTGTTAACAGGAGCAAAGGAAGCAAAGTTTCCTTACTTTAGCAAAGGAAAACCAGTCTCCTCTCGGCTTATATCGAAATCCTCCGACATTGTTCTTTACAAATCCTCGTTTTGTACTTCTAATTAGTGACCGTTGTTTTGTTTTGATCTCTCCTCTGCGCTTCCGCGTGCGTCACTTCTGAGCGGCGCATGCGCAATGCTGACCTCCATACGTCATTCCCCCGGAACTGCTTCTGTTTACAACAGTGAGCGCAAGCTAGATTCAAGTGATTATTACGTTTTGAATATGGATATTTTTCTTACAAAAACGCATCGATTCGCTACAGAGG